TGGCCATTTTTGTGGCCCCTTGGTGACAGCCTGCTGTGAAATGGAGCGCGTGTAGGGGAGAGCAGAACCAAGAAATGGAGAGAGTCAGAATCCTCAGGATATCATTCGAGCACTGGGATCCACCCTTGCCTGAAATCCTTAGACTTCTCAATTACCAATAAACTGTCCCCTCTTTACAGTCTTTATGACATTTTAACCGTGATCAAAGAGGGGGGGGACCACGTGGCTCCTTGTTGAACCTCCATCCCTCACTATGTTGTGTGCTATCCTCCATGGGAAATCATAGAGCCCCCAGGAGGCAAGGGCCATCACACTTGCAGGTCACAGATAAGGAAACTGACGGAGCCACTAGGCAACTTACGAGGTCTCACAACTAACAATCAGCAAAGTGGGATTTCAATCCAATCTCTCTGATGCCCGAGCTCTTGTCTCGAATACCCTAGAAGGGGAGCTTGCAAACTCGCCTTTGTTCGGCGAGAGGTGGGAGCCCCGGGACCCCTGCCCTGTGGACTCTCGCACCCCAGCCCCGTGTGTTTGAGAGTCTGTTCAGCCCTCACCCAGCTGTATCCTCTCCGGCTCCCCTACTTGGGAGGCCCACGGGCGTTCAAGGAAAATTAAATCCACATGTATCTGAGGCAGTAACACCTGTCAGAATGACGCCCGGAGAAATAAGCCGCGCGTAAACCTCAGGAGCCAGTCTCAAGGTTAAGAAGGACAGCTCTGTGCTGGAGAGAGGGCGAATATGGGCAGGAATGTAGGTCAAGACTCAATCCGAGCAGCGCGAGCGTGATTAAGAGGCAGACAGCAGGTCTAGCGGTTGGGGCCATCACATCTGCTCTCTGAGGATCTCCCTCTCTGCTGTGTGTGTGTGTCCTTCTCTCTCTCTCCCCCCTTCTGTCTCTCTCTCTCTCTCTCGGTCTCTCTCTTATCATGCCTCTCCATCATCTGTCTGTCTGTCCCTCTCTGTCTCTCCCCCCCCCCACTTTGTGTGTATCTCTCTCTGAGAGTCTCTCCATGTGTCTCTGTTTCTGACTTTCTCTGTCTCTCCCCATTGCTGTCTTTCTCTTTTCCGCGTGTGCCTCTCTCTGTCTTGCTTACTGAGCACTTAGATTTCTTGTGTTCTCAATATCTCGACGCGTTTGAATACCTGATTTCATTCTCACCTACAGCGCTGCTGGCCAGGAACAATTATTGGGCTTACTTATTTGTTTCTTCTAAATCACTGGGCTTCTTCTGCAGCCAGGGCAACGGGACCTTGGTGAGTTCAGTGTTTGCAAGGTGAGCTGTGCTTTGAGGGCGGGTGGCCTCGACACCAGAGCCCGCGCTGAGCCACAGCCGCCTCTGTTGGGGTTCTTCCAACACGAGGCGGCTGACAAAGTCCCAAGGATGGGGTAGGAGGAAATCGCTGTGGGTTTTCCAAGCGCTAAGGCGGATCAGGGATGCGGGTGGCTGGGCGCTGCCGTGGCTCAGCGCGGGTTGGAGGCACCAGCTGGCATCGCCCAGCCACGCGTCTGCCCAGGACGGAGGGGCCGTCCAGGGTGCGGGACTTTCAGTGCTAACGGCGGGGGGCTGCGGGCAAACCAAGATGACCGGTCACCTACGTGTACGACCTTGGGCGGGGCCCTTCCCCTCTGCACACCAGTTTCACTGTCTGTAAAACAGGGCCATGGGGCCCGCTGTGCACCATTTGAGGCTTAATTGCCACCGATGAACAAGAAAGCAACGACACCGTGCTCGGGGTGTTGTGGGGCCACTGCTGGCCCACGGGCCCCGAGAACGGATGGGCAGCCACTCCTGTCGTCCCCACACTTACCTGTTCAAACTGACCTGTCCCACAAGCCTGTCAGGCGTGGCTCCGACCGTCACAGAAATGTTCATGCTCTGCAAAGCAGCAAGCCGAAGAGTGAGGTCCCCGAGCCCACGCAGAACCCGAGGGGGAGGGGCTCTTCCTTTTGCTCCGTGCCTGTCAGTGAGTCCTGGGTTGTCAACCACTTACCACTTACCACTCTTGGATTCCATTCCAGAGTTCCCAGGCCGTTCTCACAGGCTAGGTGAGACAGACCTTGGGGCTGGAGTCCAAGCCAGCCCTAATGTCAAGATATTCATTCATCCATTCATTCATTCATTCATCCATTCATTCAACAAATACGGACGAAGCCAGAAAACCGAGCTCCCCGCCTCAGCTTTCCTGCCCACTGTCTGTAAGACCCGGGACGACCCCCCCGGGAGCCCATTTGATTGGCAAAATGGGGAAATGGGTCTCGACTTGAGAGACGGCAGACCTGCCTGAGGCCTGTGAGCACCCCCCGGTGGGGAGAAGGTCTGGCCTTCGCCTCCATGGTCACAGCGGGTGCCACCGAATGCTCATGGGGAGACAGAGAGAGGATGAACCCGCACACCAGCAATAGAACCCAAACTTGAACGAGCAAGGGCTTACACACGCAGATGAAGGCATCGACAGAGATGTGCGTCGACAAATAAAAGATGAACGGATGAACAAATATACACATGAATGTTTAATTGAACAAAGGTTTAAGTAAATGAATAAATGAATAACGGATTAATGCATGTATGCACCAGAACAGGTCTAGCGCATTTCAAGTCAGCAATCTAGTGAATACTTGAATGAATGAGCAAATACACAAACGCATAACTGAATGACCAAAGATACGAGCGAATGAATCTGAAACGGTACACGTATTTCAAGGCAGCGGCAGAATGAAGAGTTGAATGTATGAATGCCCGCAGAAGCCAGAAACAGTTAGTACCGTGGCTCTGGTCTCAGACCCTGGAGCGTCTGAACCTGGGCAGGTGCACCCTGGTCCCCCAACTCCCAGGGCGCTGCCCTCGTCTGCCCACACCTGCGAACCGCTTACCAGGCGAAGCACGAACAGGGGGGCCAAGGAGGAGTTTGGGAGGACAGCAAAGGCCTGGGCATCCAGGGTAGGG